TCAGACTCTCTCTAGGCTCCTACCTCATTTATATTAATACATGGGGAGGCAACTTCTATTTGGTTGACCAAGAAGTGACGCACGAACTTCTGGGTGAGTTGCTCAAAGCTATTGATGGGCTTCTTCGCTAGCAAGCTCTACCATAGCTTGGCGATTCCCGTCAAGGTAATGGGAAAACACATGCAAATGGTTAGCTCTGATACTTGCAGCATTGTCATCATGTCATAGTAACCCTGGACGTGCTCAGCCGGGTCTCCTTCACCCTTGTACTTCTCCACATAAGACATCTTGAATCTCTCACAAGTGGCATTCATGATTTCATTGATGAGGGGAGGGTGCTCCCCCTAATAGCATTGGCAATTGGTAGAAAGACCGATCATAACCAGACGTCAAATTAGTGGTTGATGGGCCTAGAGTGGTATGATAATACTGAGGGCCTCACAATGTTCCTCCACTGGTGTGTTATCCGCCATCATGACCAGGACTAGGCTCTCTCCTATTGCTTCCACAAATTGCGGATAGTACCGATGAGGATCTGCAAATCGAGCTTACTGGCATGGTGGGGAAGACATGTATTAGACATAGTCTTTGTGATTTACCGCCGGTGTGGCGTGTGCTGGCAATGGAGGAACTATTGGTTGACCCGTAGGTAGTGGAGGAGCAGCTAATAAAGAAGGTTGTTAGGGAGAAATTCGGTTGAGGAGCTCATTAGTGAATGTCACGAATTGCTGCTGGAAAGACTGGGAGATTCACTAAGCAGGTTCCTCCATCTGGGCTTGAGTGACGTAGCCCACACGTTGTTCTTCAGGGATAGGGTTAATGGACTAACCAGGGCGCTCAAAACCAGACATCTTGCGTAAAGAAGAAAGAAGGCCCCACGATGGGCGCCAAACTGTTAATGTCAGTTAGCAAACATGGAGTTTATGCTAGAGTTATGAGAGTGTTTAGGATCTTCAAACTCCTTATGATGACTAGTTCCAGAGCCCGCTGCTCTTCACTACACATAAAAACTCGTAAGAGGGTGAAATTAGGTTCTCCGGTTGTTCCTCTGATGATCAAGTCAGTATTTTGATCTTGAGTGGGAAAATCAAAGACAAATTATAACAGTAGTTATTCAAAGTTGCCAAAAAGCAGAAAAAGTTACATCATGCAGTGTAGTTCCCTTTTATAGTGGACCAGAGGGGTATGAAGGTAATTTTGGCCGAGTTTAGTCAGTTCCTAAGTCAGCAAGTACCTTCCAGGTATCGGCCACGAAAGAAGGTGAGTCGTCTAGTCATTTAGTGAGTGAATCACAGTAGGTGCTAGGAGCTGACTAGGTCTAATGAGTTATAAAGACTATGAGGCCTAGAGTAATGATAATTTTATTAGAGCAGTTAATACGAGAGCAGTCGGCTAGCGAAGGGTTCAAGGTAACTACCATCTCTCTAGTTGTTTGGTCAAGGGACGAGAAAGACTACCTTTTAGTTGGTCTCACAAGTTGTCAGCTGACACAGTAGGCCTAGTTCGGGTTGCTCTAGGGTCGATCGGGTGAGGTGGCCGACAATTACCGCCTTTTGAATAGGCTATGGAAGTTGTCGATTAACATAGTAGGACGAGTGCGGGTTGCTCTAGGGTCGATAGAGTGAGGTGGCCAACGAGTACCGCCTTTTGACTTAGCTACAGAAGTTGTCGGCTAATACAGTAGGCTAAGTGTGGGTTGCTCTAGGGTCGATCGGGTGAGGTGGCCGACAAGTACCACCTTTTCACTCGGGTACGTAAGTTGTCAGCTGACACAGTAGGCTGTAGGAGTAGTTTGAGTTATCTCGGCCTCAATTCGTCTAATTTGGCAAGGGGTGAGACACGTGTCGGCTTCTCTAGAGAGATTAGTACTTGTTGATTTTCTAGTCTATAACAAAAGTTAATAACTAAACTTTACACTTAACAACTAGTGCAAAAATATAACAATTAACTTATAACATTAACAGCAAACATGTACACTTGATAGCCAAGTTGTAAACTTAACAATTATGATGAAACCTTAAAAAACAAATCTATATATTTCACCATTAAGGAGTAAACTTAACCATTAATACATGACAACTAAGATATAAGTATTTATTTAATTAGATAAGTTTTACTATCTTAGTGAATCGTGCGTCTTATCATCATCACCGAATATGTCTTGTTGTGCTCTCTCTTTACTTTGCCATGTTTTACCGTAATTAATTTTGATGTCGAACTATGGGAGTAAGTCATTTTTTATATCAATTAGCTGAAGCTCTGGCCCAACCTTCAGAATAGATTGTATTTGAGTTACAACAAATTTGCATGATACCTTTGATTTACCAGCATTAGCTCTGTGTGAGTAGCGTGGAATTTCTTTATAGCCATAATCGAATAATTTCAGAGTAGGAAAGTAAACAGCATCAAGGGCATTTATGTGTGCCATTGTATTGACAATGCACTCTTATACGTTTTTATTCATTATGGTAAATATTATACTCGAACCTTTTTGTAATTAAATAGTATTAAAATTCTAATCTAACTTTAGTAGCACTTTTAAATTCCTATCCCTCTGCACATATGGATGTGTGCCACTTAGCTGGATGTTAGTTTGGTTGTTAATCATGTCTTTTATCATCATGATTGAGGGCCTATAGGATTATCATTAGGAATACACTCATCATTACATGCTTGGATAAGCGTAGTAGCTGTGCATCGGGAATTTTCTATCGGGATTTAATATATAAAAGTGAGAAAATACTTGAATACTTAAAAATTAACTATAAACATTAGTAACTAACTAGTAAAGTTAACAACCAACTCATAAGGTGAACAAACAACACATGGTTTTGCCGAAAGAAAGAACCGCACAATCCTTAACATGGAACATAGTATGTTGAAAGGTAAAAACATGCCACAAGACTTCTGGGCCAAAGTTGTTGCCTATGCGATGTACTTGTGGAATCGTGCCCAAAACAAAGTGTTTGTTTGGAATAAAACACAACAAGAGGAATGGAGTGGGCATAGGCTTACCTAACGGCCTTAATAGCACTAAGTTATCAAGGTTCTCGGATACAGAAAAGATTGATCCTTTCTTTGACTATTGATAACTCTGCATATCACACAAGGTGGGTGTGAAGTTGATATAAGGTAGGCAGAGCATGGTGCCTATATACATAACCTACAGAGGGAATGGGCTTTGATTTTTTATGTCATTCAAGTAGCGCTACTGGGAATAGGATTAAGCGAATCGATCAAATGTGAACTAGAAGCTTGCCCTCGACAACAGAGAGGCATTGGGACTAGCCGGAGAATGGCAGAAAGCACCATAGGCAGTAGTATACACCGAAATAGTAAGGTCATCCCTTTACGATAAACAGTAGTTAACTTATGATTATGATGGGGTGCTAATGCTTCCGAACACGAAAATGATCAGAAAGATTCGTATTTCATGCATCCCTCTTGTCAAGGTTAACAACTAACTTTTATGGTTAACAACTAACTTTTATGGTTAAGAACCAACTCATAAGGTTAACAACAAATCAAAACCTTAACAACTAACGATTATGGTTAGCAACTAACTATAATATTCACAACTATCTCGTAAGGTTAACAACTAACTAAAACCTTAACAACTAATCTATAAGGTTAACTATCAACCGATAACCTTCAAATCCATACCTTCAACATCTAATTACTATAATTTCATAAATGAAGTGTTCAATATGCTTTGGGAAAATAAAGTGCTCAAAATGCTTACACATTTTCTAGAGAACTTTGGGTGTTTTGAGAGTTGAAGAATCCACAGCTACGGTAGCATATAAGTTATTGTACGTAAATCCATTACGAAGATAATAGTCGAACATCAAGGTCAAGTCATCGTCATTTTTAATTGTAAAACTAAACTTTTTTCCTTTCGGATATGGATTTCAATGAAAGAGATTGCCATGAGAGTTTAAACCTTTGAGACACTTAATACTTTAAGCTAATGATTTTTATAGAGTCATTAATAACTATCAAAACACCTTTACCCTCTTCGTTGCTTTTTGTGTTTATAACCATTCAAAGGAGGGATCTTTCTATCATTATGAGGAAAAGAAATTGAAGAAACAAAGAAGATATATGGAGGAGAATTAAATGGCTATGAGAGTAGTTGAAGAAGTAAAGAGGATTTATAGAGATAATTTAGTGGCCATGAGAGAGAGACATAGAAAATGGTTGTTGGGATTAAATTGGAGGGAACTAGGGGTTTTTCCCCTCTAAAACATCTTTCTAATCATCATTTAATGCACACAGTGACGAAAATTCCACTCACCTCATCCTCTCCGATGACCCCTCCCTTTCCCCCTCCCCCGCAAATAAATAAACTATAGAAGATATATTAATCTAACCATATTTTCAAAATACACGAGGGTTTAATTTGAACTGGAGAGGGTTAAACGAATTTGTCATTAGCTTTAGGCGATGTTTGGAGTTTTCAAAAAAACTTGAGGGTGGTAGTAATAAATTATTTTATTTTGGATGGTAAAAACAAAATTTCCGTTCTTTTAATGACAATTTCTGATTTCTTTGTAGACATTTCTCACAACATGTTCATAACAAAATCCCATATTTTACTTTATTTTGAGTTTACACTAGATTAAAAATTATAGTGCAAGCAAAATTTATACTACTATGGTAATTTGATACTAGGAAGTGCAATAATAATAGGGTGGCACTAGAGGCACACCATGTGCTACACCTTGGGGGCACACCCCTCTCTCAGATACTGTATGAGGTCCATTTGAGATTTATTTAAAAATCTCAAGTGGGCCCCCTACACTGTAGCTGAGAGAGGGAGGTATGCCTCAAGGTGTGGCACAAGGTGTGCGCCTCTAGTGTTTTCCATAATAATAATAATCAAAAGTGTACGAAAGCAAACAAATCTAAGCCCATAGGCTCATTACAATCATGGCAGGCTGGGCCCAACTCATTGCTACAATAATAATTTAAACAAAAGTAGAGAAACGACCTGCATTGATAAAAAATAGGGAGTAACATGCGAAAATCCGTATTCATTTCAAAACGTGTCGCGAAAACGATCTCATAACCGAATCAGCGGTGGATAATGGAGGTGGAAGAGGGGCGGGGATCTCGGCGGCCGGCGGCGGAGGAGGTCATCGCGAAGCTCAAGGACGACGGCGATTTCGACACCCTCCGCCTCAAGATCATTCAAAAAGTCAAAGAGAATGTACGTTCTCGATTGTCGAAAACCCTAGCTCGTTTTCTTGTATCGCTACAATACTTTCTTTGATACTCGACTGTTGATGTATGCTGAGATATCAGAACTTTTCTGTTAATTTGCAATAAAATTTTGTAACTTTAGTAACTTGTCGATCCATGAATTAGGGTTGAGTAAATTGTCTCATCGTAAATAGGGGGCAAAGAATTAAACCTTTCCTGAATTATGACTGTGGGACTATGGATTTTATAAGAAGAAGACATGGTGAATGTAGGTAAATAGAAACTAATTGTATCTCCTGCAATTTTAGGTAGGACATGGTATTTGCGAGCATGGAGAATAGTAGTTAAGAAGCCACGAGTTATTTTGAGGAATCATATCAGCGAGCTCTCCTTAGTGATGATTTTATTGGTGTCATTACCTTTCATGTCTTTTGCATTAATGATCGATGGAGTACTGGACAAATATATGGTTGTAAAAGTAGCAGCACCACCATGACCCCTTCTTGTATTCCACGTGCATGTTACAGCTACCTCCTATGCATCCTAATGCTACCTCGTCGCATACTTTGGAGTTTGGTCTTTTTGTTGCTGACAAGTCTCGTCATGGGTGGCACATTCTCAAGCCCCTCACGACTATGAGTTGCTTCATTCTTATAAGAAAAAAGAAGAGGGACAGGAAGTCTTATTATGAACTCATATCTAACAATGTTAATGGATGTGGTTGTATATTGCTAGTAAATAGGAAACTGATGAGTTCTAATGGGTAGTTCGATGCGCAGTAACAAGACCTGGCTCCACCTAATAAGTAAGATAGATTTTATCTAGCAGTTATGTATAGTATGTAAATGTGCACTATCAGTTGACATATAAAAACATATTGATGAATTAAACAAATCTTTCTGTTTTAACTATTTAGAAATTAAAGAGAAGGCATGTACAGTAGTAGCATTGTTACTAATGGAGCTGGAACGGAAAAAAATTCTGAAGGTAAATACATAATCATGAATTGCCCGGCCTGTCCGTTTCATTAACTTTAAAGTTTAGATCCATCGTGAGCATTAAGGCTCATCAATTTTAAATAATGCTTGTAAAGGCAAAAAAATAGAATATGGAAATCTTTACCTTTCTTGATGTGTATGTTCTTAATTTTTTGGAAGGAAGTGAATTCAATTTAATATATTCAAATTTGTATGAGGGAGCCTTTTGACACTTTACAAGCTATGGAAAATTATTAGTGGCAAGCTATGTTACTTGGACACGGCGGTTTGACCGTCGTACCGGCGTCGATACGACACGACACCGGTCCGGGTATGAAATACGGGTCGGATGCGGTGGTTGGCACTCGGATACAGCGAGGTGTGTGAATAAAAAAACCAAAAAAATAGAGAAATAAAAGATGAAATTACATACCAAATTCGCTCGAAACCATCAAAAAGAATCTTCGAAGGAGGCGGCGGGGCTGTGGCTGCTCATCGTCGATGAAGGAGGCGGCGGCGAGGCTGCGGTTGCTCGTCGTCGATGAAGGAGGGGGAGGAGATGGCTCCTCATCGTTGATGGAGGAGGCGGAGGTGGCTGCTCGTCGACAACTTAGGGTTTTTTTAGGGCAGCTCTAGATAGAGTGCGGGTGAGGTGAGAGAAATGAGAAGATAACGTGGAATCTTTATTAAAAATGGATGGTGGATTGAATGTCCACGTGTATTTAGACTATTATTAAATTAAACTATTATTTGTTGCTTGTTGTCCTCTTCCTTCACAATTATTTACAGCAAATTACAAAAAAACCCCAAGAACTTTCAGTTTTTGCAGTAAACCCCAATAACTTTCAAAATTGCACTAAACCCCAATAACTTTTGCATTTTGCAGAATAAAACCCAAATAAATTTCTTTATTTTGTAGAAAATGGGTATACATATAGAGGAATGGAATTTAATTAGTTGTACTTCATTAAATAAATTAACTATTATTAAAAGTGTATCCTCGTACCCGTGTTGAAATTTAAGACGGTGTCCCTGTATCCAAAATTTTCAGAAATTTCGTATCGGACACTTGGATCCGCACCCGTATCGGATGCTCATATCTGAGTCCAGGTAACGTAGGCGGCAAGGAT